TATTCCATCTCATGCTAAGAGAATAATGTAAAGCTATTGTGTCACATTATGGGGGAGAAATTCGACCTGGATTCTGCAACCAGAGACAGAGATTGAGGGGACAGAGAGAGAGAGGGGGAGGGTGAAGATCAGAGAAAGGTTGAGGGGACAGAGAGAGAGAAGGGTTGAAGATCAGAGAAAGGTTGAGGGGACAGAGAGAGAGAGAGGGGAGGAGGATAGAGAGAGGGTGAGGGGACAGAGAGAGGGGAGGAGGATAGAGAGGGGAGGAGGATAGAGAGGGTGAGAGGACAGAGAGAGGGGAGGAGACAGAGAGAGAGGGGAGGAGGATAGAGAGGGTGAGAGGACACAGAGAGAAGGCGAAGAGCAGAGAGGGTGAAGGGACACAGATGGGGTGGGGGAGGTGAGGGGACACGGAGAGAGGGTGAGGGGACACAGATGGGGTGGGGGAGGTGAGGGGACACAGAGAGAGGGTGAGGGGACACAGATGGGGTGGGGGAGGTGAGGGGACACAGAGAGAGGGTGAGGGGACACAGATGGGGTGGGGGAGGTGAGGGGACACAGAGAGAGGGTGAGGGGACACAGGTGGGAAGGGGGAGGTGAAGGGACACATATGGGGTGGGGAGGTGAGGGGACACAGGTGGGGTGGGGGAGGTGAGGGGACACAGAGAGAGGGTGAGGGGACACAGATGGGGTGGGGGAGGTGAGGGGACACAGAGAGAGGGTGAGGAGACACAGGTGGGGTGGGGGAGGTGAGGGGACACAGAGGGTGAGGGGACACAGATGGGGTGGGGGAGGTGAGGGGACACAGAGAGAGGGTGAGGAGACACAGGTGGGGTGGGGGAGGTGAGGGGACACAGAGGGTGAGGGGACACGGGTGGGGTGGGGGAGGTGAGGGGACACAGAGAGAGGGTGAGGGGACACAGGTGGGGTGGGGGAGGTGAGGGGACACAGAAAGAGGGTGAGGGGACACAGAGAGAGGGAGGGTGAGGGGACACAGAGAGAGGGAGGGTGAGGGGACACAGAGAGAGGGAGGGTGAGGGGACACAGAGAGAGGGAGGGTGAGGGGACACAGAGAGAGGGAGGGTGAGGGGACACAGAGAGAGGGAGGGTGAGGGGACACAGAGAGAGGGAGGGTGAGGGGACACAGAGAGAGGGAGGGTGAGGGGACACAGAGAGCGGGAGGGTGAGGGGACACAGAGAGCGGGAGGGTGAGGGGACACAGAGAGCGGGAGGGTGAGGGGACACAGAGAGCGGGAGGGTGAGGGGACACAGAGAGCGGGAGGGTGAGGGGACACAGAGAGCGGGAGGGTGAGGGGACACAGAGAGCGGGAGGGTGAGGGGACACAGAGAGCGGGAGGGTGAGGGGACACAGAGAGCGGGAGGGTGAGGGGACACAGAGAGCGGGAGGGTGAGGGGACACAGAGAGCGGGAGGGTGAGGGGACACAGAGAGCGGGAGGGTGAGGGGACACAGAGAGGGAGGGTGAGGGGACACAGAGAGAGGGAGGGTGAGGGACACAGAGAGCGGGAGGGTGAGGGGACACAGAGAGCGGGAGGGTGAGGGGACACAGAGAGCGGGAGGGTGAGGGGACACAGAGAGAGGGAGGGTGAGGGGACACAGAGAGCGGGAGGGTGAGGGGACACAGAGAGAGGGAGGGTGAGGGGACACAGAGAGAGGGAGGGTGAGGGGACACAGAGAGAGGGAGGGTGAGGGGACACAGAGAGAGGGAGGGTGAGGGGACACAGAGAGAGGGAGGGTGAGGGGACACAGAGAGAGGGAGGGTGAGGGGACACAGAGAGAGGGAGGGTGAGGGGACAGAGGGGAGCGAGGGAGGAGGACAGAAATGAAGTGTTAGGTTGTTAGTTGTCTGGTTTGCTAACCCTGTCATCCCACACCAGACCATATCACCCGGGCGCGGGGTATATAGATATATATATAGATATATAGATATAGATATATAAAAAAAGGAATTAACGGAATGAAGTGAGAAGGAAGTTGGTGTCAGGTTTCAGGTGTCCTGGTTTGGGTAAGTGGGTTGTGGATGGAAGGAAGAGCGTGAAAGTATTCGGTGTGCGTTTGGGAGTGAGTGAGTGAGTGGATGTTTGCATTAACTGAGCACGAGCCCTCCCCCCTGTGTGTGTGTGTGTGTGTGTGAGTGTGAGTGAGTGAGTGTGCGGTTATCCGGGGCTGTGCTGCACTCATGTTTGCAGGACTAGTCCGGCTTTTTGCGGTGGCCGAGCGAGCAATGCTGGGACCAGGTTCACGTTCACATTCCGCAACTCCCACCCACCCCCTCCCTCCCTCCCTCCACCCTACACACACACACACAGGAGGGGAGGGAGGGAGAGAGGGAGGGCGGTACCACACCAACTGGAGAGAGAGAGAAAGAGAAAGAGAGAGACGTTGAATTAACCAGAGACTCCCGACAGGAGGAGCGCACAGTGGCAGCACCTCATCTTTTGGAGAGTTTTTAATATTATATAAGTAAGTATGTGAGTGAGTGGGTGAGTGAGTGTGTAAGTGTGTGTGTGTGTGTGTGAGTGTCAGCGAGTGTCAGGGAGGATGAGCTGCAGCGGGTGATGGTCGGTCAGGATGTGGGTCCCCACATCGTTTGCTGCGTGTGGGATCCTCGAGTGACCGCAAAGCCACAGAGAGACCCGAGAGAGACTCCGCACTCCTCCGCAAACAGACACACCAACTCCGCAAAGAAAGCGTCCAAGTCAGCAAGAGGAAATAACAAGTCTTTTTTGTGGGGGGGGGGGGGCTGGGGTTGGGGGGGCGGGGTTGGGGGGTGGGGGGGGGGGGGGGGGTGGGGGGGTGGGGTTGGGGGGGTGGGGGGGCGGTGGGTTGGGGGGGTGGGGTGGGGGGTGGTGGGGGGCGGTGGGGTGGGGGGGGGGTGGGGGGGGGGTGGGGGGCGGTGGGGTTGGGGGGTGGAAGAAAAATCTATTTAAAAACAAGGTGATGATTAGTTGTCCAGGGCTTTGGCCATCTCTGTGTTGTGTCCCGGGGTGGGGGGGGGGGGTGTGTCCCGGGGTGGGGGGGGGTGTCCCGGGGTGGGGGGGGTGTCCCGGGGTGGGGGGGGGGTGTTGTGTCCCGGGGTGGGGGGGGGGGTTGTGTCCCGGGGTGGGGGGGGGGGGGTGTGTCCCGGGGTGGGGGGGGGGTGTTGTGTCCCGGGGTGGGGGGGGGGGTGTTGTGTCCCGGGGTGGGGGGGGGGGTGTTGTGTCCCGGGGTGGGGGGGGGGTGTTGTGTCCCGGGGTGGGGGGGGGGGGGGGGGGGGGGGGGGTGTTGTGTCCCGGGGTGGGGGGGGGGGGGTGTTGTGTCCCGGGGTGGGGGGGGTGTTGTGTCCCGGGGTGGGGGGGGGGGGTGTTGTGTCCCGGGGTGGGGGGGGGTGTTGTGTCCCGGGGTGGGGGGGGGGGTGTTGTGTCCCGGGGTGGGGGGGGGGGGGTGTTGTGTCCCGGGGTGGGGGGGGGGGGTGTTGTGTCCGGGGTGGGGGGGGGGTGTTGTGTCCCGGGGTGGGGGGGGGGGGGGGTGTTGTGTCCCGGGGTGGGGGGGGGGGTGGGGGGGGGGGGGGTGTTGTGTCCCGGGGTGGGGGGGGTGTTGCAGGTCAGGACTCTTCGCCACTGGGAGTGGTGACCGTGAGGAGGGGGGACAGAGAGAGAGAGAGCGGGACAGGGGGAGAGGAATAATCAGTGTGTGTGTATATATAGAGAGAGACGGGGACACAGAGACAAATAGTCTGAGACAGACAGAGAGACACAGACACAGAGAGAGACACAGACACAGAGAGAGACACAGACACAGACAGACACAGAGAGACACACAGAGAGAGACAGACACAGAGAGAGACACAGACACAGAGAGAGACACAGACACAGACAGACACAGAGAGACACACAGAGAGAGACAGACACAGAGAGAGACACAGACACAGAGAGAGACAAAGACACAGACAGACACAGAGAGACACACAGAGAGAGACAGACACAGAGAGAGACACAGACACAGAGAGAGACACAGACACAGACAGACACAGAGAGACACACAGAGAGAGACAGACACAGAGAGAGACACAGACACAGAGAGAGACACAGACACAGACAGACACACAGAGAGAAACAGACACAGAGAGAGACAGACACAGAGAGAGACACAGACACAGAGAGAGACACAGACACAGACAGACACAGAGAGACACACACAGAGAGACACACAGAGAGAGACAGACACAGAGAGAGACACAGACACAGAGAGAGACACAGACACAGACAGACACAGAGAGACACACAGAGAGAGACAGACACAGAGAGAGACACAGACACAGAGACACAGACACAGACAGACACAGAGAGACACAGAGAGAGACAGACACAGAGAGAGACACAGAGAGAGAGACACAGACACAGAGAGACACAGACAGACACACAGAGAGAGACAGACACAGAGAGAGACAGACACAGAGAGAGACACAGACACAGAGAGACACAGACAGACACACAGAGAGAGACAGACAGAGAGAGACAGACACAGAGAGAGACACAGACACAGAGAGAGACACAGACAGACACACAGAGAGAGACACACAGAGAGAGACAGACACAGAGAGAGACACAGACACAGAGAGAGACACAGACACAGAGAGAGACACAGACAGACACAGAGAGAGACACAGACAGACACACAGAGAGAGACACAGACAGACACACAGAGAGACAGAGAGATGGACACAGAGACACACATAGAGAGACACAGACAAGACACAGAGACACAGAGAGACAGACAGACAGACAGACAGACGGAGGGAGGGAGGGAGGGAGGGGTTGGGGTTGGGGTGACAGCGCTGCTCGGCTGCCGCTATATGTTGTGTTGCGGTGTATAACTGTGTATTGAAATCCGATCGATCAAGAAAAACCAAAGCCGCGTTTTTCGTGCTTCGGGGGAGAGTTTACGAGTTCATTTCCTTTCTGATTATTTCTTCTTCTTCTCCTCCTCCTCCTCCTCCAGGTCCCGGGGCCCGGGGCTGCGCGGTGTGGGGGCGGAAGGCTGTCGGGGGAGGCGCGGGGGGAGGTGAGAGCCGCGCTCGCCACTCGCTCTCCGCCCGTCAGGCGCTCACTTGCCCCGTGTGCTGCTGCTCTGCTGTAAGGAGAGCGCTGTGTGTGTGTGCGTTTTCTTTTACATAATATTGTAACCCCACCCCAGCGGCTACACACCACTCATCCGTTGGATAGACTGGAACTGTAAGGAACAACAACTTGCATTTCTGTAGCGCCTTTCACGTCGGGGGCAGCGCCCCAGAGCGCTAAACAGCGTCGGAGGCTGATGCCGAACAGGGCGGGGTGGGGGGTGGGGGGGATGGCACTCAGCGCCCAGCGCAATGGAGAGAGGAAGGTCTTCAGTCCTGATCTAAAAAGAAGATCTTTTGGGGAAGGATAAAAGGAAGGAGGGGGTCAAGGCGGAGGGAGTGGGGGAGAGAGTTCCAAATAATAAAGAATTGGCGCTGAACATAATTGCTTATTCAAACTGAAATGCTTACAACGTTTCCGCTTTCTGGACGGTCCCCGTATTAACCCATGTTTTCCAGTTTGTTAACAAATGGGCTCTGATGAAGCAAATGAAGTCTATGCGCATCGCTGCCTGTTGTCGGCCAGCTTCAGTAACTTGACGCTTATTATTGAACATCAGGTCACAAAATGGGTGCAGATCAATCAAAGGGATACAAAAGGCGGCAGGAAAAGAAAACGGAAACCTGAGGATGAAGTGGCTTTCAGAGAGGTATGTGTGTGAAAGTTATCTGAAAGTGATGTACTTAACTTCACTCTACCTCCTGAATATGGTAACTATTGCCTTTCCTGTCTTTGATGTCTTCTGCCCTGTTTATACTCTGCTGTTTGAGTTGATTTGTGCAATTTGCCAAATTGATACTAAAACACTGTGTGAATTAGGCTCTTGGTCAACAATAGTTGCAGTTGGAAGGACAATCATTAAACCAGAGTAAGATAGTGGGAATTCGGGAATAAAATTCTGGAACCGAATCGCACTGAAGATTGCCAGGAGAATGCTGTGCACCTCTGTGGTACAAAATGCAAGCAATGTACATTGGTTTTGGTCTTCACTAAATTGCCCTTTGTATGTTCTTGTGCCGTTTGTTTGCCTTAATTTAATGTTGGGGATCCAGTCATATTATTGGTGCTGTAATAATTGTAATAATATCAGGAAACTGACGCTTAATTGAGTTCTAGGCATAAGCAAATGAACGCATAAGCAAAGGTCTCCTCAAGTTCCCTCACCCACTCCACATACACAGACACACACACTTTTTGACTATGGCAATATTGGAGCAGGAAATATAAATGCTGTTTCTGCTCCTCACTGTTTTGCTACCGGAATCCATTTCAAATAGCTTCCAGCAGTGCAAATAGGGTATTATTGGGCTACTCTCAGGTATTTCTAATGAGTATGTAAGCCGTGAGAGGGTAGGGATTTCTAGTCAGCACTTGCTGACAAAGTAAAGTAGACTTCAGCATAGTTATCGATCCCACAGGATAGGAGCAAAGCAGGTAGGAAACAAATAGTTGTAGTTGAAAGAACAATCATTAAACCAGAGTAAGATAATGGGAATTTGGGAAGAAAATTCTTCAGTTTTCTGTCTGTGGTTCTAAAGGGAGCATTGTTACTTATGGTCCATGAGCTTTACACTTGCGCATCACTGAGCAGCACATATTTTTCCCAAAAGTTAGCCAGAGCGCTGCTGATGTGCTAAACACATTCTGCTCACTGGCGTTTCTGTAACCAGGCTGTGGTATTTTTTGATATGAGCAATCTGTTACATCCTTATAAGGATTTCCACTTAAACAAACTGGAGAAAAGTAAACTTGTGGTCACTTTGTGAATTATCCCAATTTTTTACCAGTTATCTTTGTTTCTTCCCAAAAAGGGAATTGCTTCCAGGGATTATCTCCCCGCTCTGTGTGTGTGTTTCAAACTGCGCACTTTCTCTTGGTGATGGCATTGCAGACACATGATCAAATTCCACACTGGAGGGGTGGCGGGGGTTCAGGGAAGCGGGTGGGGGGGAACGATGGTAAGCCAAGCTTTCATCTTTTTTCAACTGATGTCCATGTACATATTTACCCGGAACCCTCCAAAAGGAGAATATTTTATGATACTGAGTTGAAGGGCTGAGTGGATTCATCGAGATTCAATCATTCAGTTCTCAAGTTGAACTGGCCGAAGTACACAACATGACTTCTGTTGAAATAACTGTATTGCATGGTTCGGCTATTATCTATATTCCTCCCTGCAAAGTTGAGACACCAGTTGTTCCACTCTCTCTGTAGAGTCCGAGTCTTATCACATTTCAGCAAACATGATCTCTTGCTTGAACAGTACAAAAGACCACCATATCTTGCAAGGCGTCTGAATGCCTTTGGAAAGGTGCAAATTCAAAATCACTGCAGTGAGCGACAGCTTGGATCTTGGGGAAATTTGATCAACTAATATCTCAACTACAGAGTGTTTGGTTATAATTGAACTGCATACATTGTCACTTACTGTAAGTCTCAAGAACTAACTCTTTTTAACTGCAGTTTTGGTCTTCTTTCCCCTCCCCACCCTCCTTGGCTCCCATGCCCAGACTGAGTGTCCAGCCTGTACTGTTGAGTGCTTTGGACATCCTCCCAAAGTGAAAGGCATTATGTAAATGCAATATTATATGTTTTTGTAGCTTTGCAACTTTTGTGTGCAAATCTGATCATACATTTTTTAAAAAATGTATGCAACTGAAATTACAGTATGTAGAAAATCAGGGGATAGAAATCACACATGGATCTAGTTTATTCTATTTTCTTAGCATTCTAGAGTGTCCAGATTTTGGAAAATTAAAAAATACAGTCTTAGTTTTGAAGCTATTTGGTTTTGTAGTTCTCTTTTACTAAACAATGGTCTGAAAAGAAAAGACCCAATTCAACAATTTGCCAAATTCTGCAACCTCTGAAATGCTAAGAAAATAGTGAATATACACTTGGATGGAATTTCTCCCCACAAATGTCATGAAATTTTATCCATACTTGCTGTCGGAGAATGTGGCGCACAAAGCTTTCTATTCTGTGCATGGAATGAACTCGCGTGATCCAAATCAGCCCTTTTTAAGATGTTATGTCCCACATTGTCAAGTGGTAGAATGGTTGCTTACTAATTATAATGGCAAGTATGATCTTAAGATTGTAGTCAAACAGGTCAATAACAGAATATTTTATATGTATAAAAGAACTATAGGCAATTTTGTTTTATAAAAAAACAAAGTTTCATTTGGAAACCAATCAAAGTATCATGATACTTTTCTAAACTCCAAGCTTTGTCTGCCATCCTAAGCGACTTACTGTCATTCAGGATATTTTTCTTGTTTATTTGGTAATGGATTGATTTAGTGTTAATGAAAGAGCAATATGAAGAATGTGTTGACAGAGATAGTCGAATCAAGGGTTGCAGGGGTGGGAAGAAGAGAATTATTAACTTCTGGAGCAAGCCACCTCCTGTTGGATGATAATGGAGTCCTTTTGATGGTGAAATAAGGGAAATGGGAGCTATCACTGTGAACTTTAAGTGGAAGAGGAAGTTTAAAAATAACTAGATTATATATCTTCTTAGCATGGTTTAACTCACTAAAAGTACAGATGAGAAGCTTAATTGATGGATATGATTATCAATTGATAGTCTGTGTTTTGAGTTTCTTTTTACATTGTTGGAGGTGATCCAGTAAAATAAGAGTTTGTGGTGGATTTTTGAACAGAAACGTATTTTGTCAGGATCCTTCTCATCTTACATGACTAGGCTCCTCTGCAATTTAGTTTCTCATATTCGGTTGCACTAATGGGAAAAATCTATTCGGAATTCTCAAAAGAAAATTATAGGCTCTGAACCTGGCGAGTGTCAAGCAACCCACACCTTGAAATAATATAATCAATGGAATACAAAATGCAGGACACTTTGTGCTAGATGTATTGCACAAATGGTGTCGATAACAAGAGCACCTGGAAAAGGTGATCCTGTAATGTTGGCAGCTGCAGCAGCTGATGTGCTGCCAATGTATTATACTTCAAAGTTTAAAAAACAAAAGTTGTCTCGTGGTTGTCTGGCGGTTTCATGCACCACCTTTAAATTTCTAACGATACTTGAGAATTGGCTGTACCATCGGCTCTTTTCTAACGTGTCATATTTTGCAGCCAGTCGAAGACAGGCAGTCGGAGTGTGTGTTAGGTTGCATGCAGGTAGCTTTGTTTTCCCGTTTCTGGAAGAGCAAATAGGCAGCATAACTACAGCTCACCACTTGCACTGCACCCCGAGATGTTTCCGATAATTGTGCCATTGCGTTTTGAATAGTGGAATAATTTTGTAATTGGCAACATACCCAGCGCACACACCCTCAACCCTGAAATACTTTATGGTTTTCATTGTTTAACCCAGTTGGAAAATAGTCGCATCTCGGTAACACAAACATGACGTGTGGATAGATGTAGTGTATAAAATTCACACAAAAGTAGGTTATGTGAATTGTTGCATTTGCATTTCTGAAAATAACGCTGAATTTCTCCTTTATGAGATTCATATGTGACTGCAATTGAGCAGTCCAAAACACTAAAATATCTTTATAATAATAATAATAATCCTTGCATTTGATATAGCGCTTTTCACGTTGGGAGGACGTCCCACAGCGCTTCACAGAACACACTGTAAAGTGAATTGACTGTATATTTGTGTGCGAACGCGGCAGCCAATTGCGCACAGCAATGTCCCACAAACAGTCGTAGATTGAAAATGACCAATTTATTATTGTTTTTGGTTTTGGAGGGATTATTATTAGGCTCTGTGTGGAGTAAGGAAACTTGCCCAAGGTTTCGCCCTCTGCCTGGAATTGAACTCAGGTCTCTCACTTGCAAAGCGAGTGCTCTAACCACTGAGCTACAGGACTCCACATTGAATACATTGTGTGCATTATTAGTACTTTATGTATCTTTGTATTTTGTGATATTTATAGCTGTAGGATTTACAACTATATTATTACATAAATGGACTATATTATATAAATGGATCGAGTGAATCAATTTTAATAAGTGAATTTTTTAGGGGGTTATTTGACACCATTTAAGAGGTTTTGTAGGAGTGATAAATGTGCAATTTCACTATTTGATTAGATTTCTGAAAATGTTAGTACAAGAGTTTTTTTTAAAAAAGTGTGTTGTCACAGGCACTATTCATAGGAAAATTGCATTGGACATTGTTATTCAATTTCATAATCAAGAACAGGTTGACTTTGCTTATATATGGTTCTCATTAAAATCTTTTGCTTTTATAATGAGGTATTTTAGAGATACAGTTCAAAGGCTGTGTGCTGCTGTATGTTTTTTTAAATGCAGTCCGAATGGTAGGACTCCAAACAATTTATCTAATTAAACAGAAACAAATATTTAATGTATTTTTTATTTTTATTATTATAAATAATAATTATTCTTAAATGTTCGCTCATAATATGAAACATACAATGTGAAGAGTACGTATAATCCTTACATTTACAAAAAATAATGGAGTGAATATCAGTTTTATAATACAAATAGTCAACTGTCTAATAAACTATTTACATAGTTAATGCATCTTTGACAATTTTTTTTATTAATCAACATGTTAAGATTGACAAATCTTTCTCACAGGTGTTGATACAAAACAGAAACTGTATGTTTAAGTTTAACTCTGTAAAAATTTAATCAGAAATGTATGTT